TGTGTGTGTTGGTACAAAGTGTCGTACAATAAACAGGAGAGTCCTGTTCACCACATTGATTCAGCTGGCACTCCAGCAGTTTCATGAGTGCATTCATGTGCTTGCCCTGCGCCTTGTGCTGCACAATCTGGTGCAGCTCTACAAGGCACTGGCGGAAGGGCACAAGGTCCACCTGGTTGTACACCATGGATTCGTCCATGTGGCACAGGATTTGCTGGGGGTGTGCGCATGAGTATACAATATAGAGTATGATAGAAAGAGACGCACTCACAGGCATGGACACAATCTGTGAATACGTTGCAGGGACATTGCACGTGCTGATGGTCAGATAAAACAGTGACAGCAGATTGAACATGTCCACAAGCGATGTGTGTCATTTGTCATCATTTTTCCCAGATCATATTTGATGGGACAATTCCATCTTGACTCCAAACACTTTGGGGTCATGAAATTGCCTACCCCATATCAATTTCAGGGGGAACAGCTGCTGGGAACAGTTTGCATTTGGCTTGTAAGTTGTCTGGCAAATGGGCCTAAATTCAAGTGATGTAGTTGAAATTCTGTGTAGCTCCATACCTGGGTTGCACAACATATTCTACAAATATCCATGGGCTGTGCAAGAGCAGGTGAAGATGGAGGAGGAAGGAGCATCTTTCTCACTCATGTAAAGGAGGGTGGAGGGGGCAAATAGGAGAATGCAACCAAGCAGTTTGAGCAGGAGGAGTGTGAGTGGCTCAACACCAGTCATGATGTAGTTACATAGTCTCAGACAGAGAAGGTGTGTGGAGATTGCTGAAAGACAATTGGTTTGCCTGGCTACAAGTTTGTAATAGAGGTTGAATCCAACTTGAATCTGGTGTGTGTCTTGTTATCATGCCAATAAATTGCTTATTCAATATGGCCGTCTGGCGAAATGGCATCGCGTCTGACTACGATTGTTTGTCTTACGTAATTTCGTCCGCCGTGCCGACGTGCCCGAAGGACCTGTACCACTCCGGCGCTTAAATGATCAGTGGCGGCGGCGAGCGCACTTGGACGCTGTGGCGGAGGCGAGCACGATCGGCAGAGTGGTGTGGGGCGAGCGCACCGGGCGCTGTAGCGGGAGCGAACGCAGTCGGGTGTTGTGGCAATGGCAGGCCGATTCTGAGTGATGATCCAGTCAATTCAGGGAAGGAGTCGCCTGAGATAGGAGAGACAAGATCACGAAATAGCATCTGGACATCGGGACGAAAGCAAGAGCAACGGATGAGGTGGAAGTTTGATGTAGTCAAGCCTAGAAGACTGCAGATGTTGTCGAATGGGGGGCCATCTCAAATGGCCACAGACATGAGGATCCATGGATTGTGCTTCTCGGTCATTTGTGATTTTACATGGCCCATCTGCAAAAAGTCTTTCCGGGAGCTTTTGCCCCAGGAATTTAGTAGATGCACTTCATCAAAGCCTGTTCTGCAAACTCTACCGAAAAATGCATCGTCTTGGAGGGTCTTTTCGAATTCTGCACACTTGAGCTGCTCTAGTCTGGTCAGAATAACACTGGGTTTTGTATGAGCAGTTTGCCAAAGTTCTTCTTGTCAGATGCATAGGACTTCGGACTGAGTCTGAGAATTTATAGCGAGGACAGTGATGCCAAGAAGCTTCATGTTTGCAGCCTATTCATCGATAGGGTGCCTGTGGGCATTCCATATGGGGGAAATGCACATACCATCTCGAGTTGTGACGGAATTGTAGGGCATATGACTAGCAGACATGGATTGCTCGGAAATGTCACAGATGGGCACAAAGTGGGGTCTTTCACAACAGCAAGAATTATGAGGATATATATGATATAGTAGCCGGTTTTCCTGCTACCAGTCAGAGTGATAGCAAACAGATGCACTCTGTCAAGAGATTTACATACACCTTCTAGCTGGTCATCGTGTGAAGTATATGGAAGGGGGGTTGGCTCCAAAATGTGTTGGACAAGGTCACAGCCTTCTTTGGAGCTCCAGAGAAATAAGTCGGACATGATAGATGCACTGTGGAGAGGCAGAGAAGGAGCCGACACGACACAAGGAAAGGCAAAGAGGTGATGTCATGGGCATGTGTCATCTTTGTCCCCATTTGGGTGTGGGAAAATGCACGTGTGGTCACGAGAATCAAGGTCCAGCAAGCGACCTGCCAACAGATTTAGACTACATCCAAATATGGAATGGATTCTCCAACACCAACATCAGTTTCTGTGGTGTTACTCAGTATAGTTGTGTCAAAAATCCATTGCACAATCAAATTTGCACCCAAGATGATTGGGAGACCCTCATTCTTGATGACATGGCAGGCTTCAGCAACTGTCAAATCCAAAAAGTACTCAGCACCAACACAAGCGCCAATGCTAGGTGTGGTGTGTTCAGTGTATGATAGAGGGTTTGAATCTCCAAAATTATATGAATGACCATTTTCTGTGTGTGCTTTCAAACAGTTCAATTTAAACTCAACATTGCAGGTCTTAAACACACCTGAACTTGCACCTCCATGAACATTAACTCTGACATGGAGGTGAGACAAGGGACCAAGTTGCAAGGACTGCATGTGGTCGCTTCAAGCAAGTTGTTTGCCCCTAGAAGTGAAGTACAAGTTCCCAGGCCCGCTAGTAGGCACAAGACACAGCAGTAACAACTTGTTGTATATGTCTTGAATGGTCGTTTGAATGGTGACAACTGTAACAGTATGAGATGAGTTCTAAGGGTGCAACCAAATTTACTCACCTAGAGGAAGAGAACAAGCATTTAATCCAACAATAAAAATAGTAAATTGCTCATCCCTGCAGACCTGCAGCAAATGCGGCAGGTCACCTGCTGCATTCGCCACTGAGACATGAAGGGAAAATGTGAATGGTGGCAGGGGTGACCAATGAATAAGCTGGTGATAAGATGATAACAGAAAAACCAGTGATATATTGTTGATGCTGAATGTGAGAAATGAGGAACAAATATATGTGATTCTCGCAAAATGAATTGATTTACTGACCAATGAACAGCAGGCTGCAACTGGTGCAAAATGAGAAATATGCAAATGCATGCATCACATTGTAAGGAGAAAGTGATCCCTGCACTGTAATATGTGAACCAGCAGTGAACAATCCAATAAGACCAGTGAGGAAAGGGGAAATAAATAGGACAATGCTGAGGATGCTCCAGTTGAAGATGTTAAATCCAACCACTTCCCAATGGGATTTGGAGAGGGTACCACACTCTGGAAAGATTTTAAATATCAACTACAGCATATGGGGAAAAACCTCACTTGGCAGTAGTTTTTTAGGTGGATGGTCAGCATAGCTAACCAGGATGTGAATACAAGTGGGTTGCAATAAATAAAGGGAATTGCCCCAGTTAAATAATAGCTGTGGACAGCCTCAGGCCATCATTCCAGAGTCAATGGAAATTTTGATATTGGAGGCTGTAAAAAAGGCAGTGAGCACAGCATCTCAAGCACATGCACTCTTGCCTTGTACACAGCTCTGTAAATTAGCGAATATGAAGAAAAAACCTATGACAACATAACCTCCATGAGCTGGGGTGTATGGTTTGCCAGACTCAGATGACATCACAATGTGGCCAGGAAGATTGGGTATAAAATGAAATGGCACATGGATTGTGGGATTCTGGTTGAACAACACTGACATGCATTCACTCACAAGCCGTTAAGACAGGGGATCACACATCACTTCTGGACCAAGCATGGAATTGTTTGCTGTGACAGAGCTACAGACATGGGCATACAGATAACTTTTTAAATTCACTCTTTTACATATCATCTATGTTCCCAAATATTTTTCGCTCATCACAGATTTTTATTTCCTGAGAATTAATTCTCCCATTCCCCATATGCCGATTTTCACTTCAACATGACACTTGCATTTATCTTTCCAGGCTTAGTAGTTAGGTACAGTGCAACCACATATATTCCTTGGTCCTTGCTTGGACCATTATTCTCTTCTTGAGTGCCAATGAGAGCATGCCACAACACTTGCTCCGCACCACACCTTTGGACTGCACCCGATCAGATGATCATGCTGAAACCAGTGTCTTCCAAAGCTTGCACCCAATTCAATGCAAAGCTTCAAACACGCTGGAGTCCCAATACATACATACATACATACATGTATACCGAAACCATGTAAGTATATAGCAGACCCCTTCAACCAGTAAGATCTAAATTTAAATTTACAGATGGGAAAAATCACATCAAACCGTAGGGGCTGGGATGGCGGCAATCAACGGCACATTCACGGATCAGTTGTCGGAGTTTGAGTTTTATTATTGGGGGTTGCTGATTAGAATTATCCCTCAAGTCCTCCTCCACTCTACTCCTTACCTACCGAAAACAATGTACATATGACATAACAAAAATAATTTGAGATTTCAAGCAAGGTTGTTGCCGACAAAGTCGGTGCTTCTTTGTTTGTGATAGGGGTTGAATCCAACTCGAATCTGGTGTGTTTCTTGTTATCATGCGAATAAACAGGAGATTGTATAGGTATTTGATATGGGTCAAGAAATGCCGACTGGGTTTTATTTTGGAACACAGAGAAGAAGGGATGAAAAACAAATGGGGACATTGTCCCAAAACCTGGGATGAATAAATGGCAGCCACTCATGTTACCCAAAATATTTGAAGAGCAATCTCTCATCCAAGAAAAAAGGATGAAAAAACAGGTGGCCCTCCCCAAGACCCATCCCTTTCCCTGCACCCCACCCCCCTTCAATCCATCTCCCGATACTTCAATATCCTCAATGGGCTGTTCATCCTTTTTTCCGGGATGAAAAAGTGTGGGCCTCTATGAGGGGGGGAAAAAAAATCTCCCAGTGGCTGCTCATCCTTTTTTCCGGGATGAAAAAGAGTGGGCCTCTATGAGGGGGAAAAGAAAATCTCCATGTGGCCCCTCATCCTTTTTCCGGGATGAAAAAAAAGTGGACCTCTGAGGGAAAAAAAAATTCTGCAGGAAAAACAAAAAGCCAAAAGATTGACCGAGCTAGGGGTCGAACCTAGAGTCTCCTGATTACAGAATCATCCACGTGATCGTAGTCAGACGCGATGCCATTTCGCCACACGGCCATAAAGGGTAGGCATTTTAAGAAATAAAGGTCTAGATAAAAAAAAAAACGCCTGGTCCGGCAACTGCAGCAAGTGTGGTCCTGGCGCGCCCCCTTGAAAAGACAGCCCGTTGAAACCCTACGTAACCATGAGAATCCACGCATCGTAGTCAGACGCGATGCCATTTCGCCAGACAGCCATAAAGGGCAAGCATTTGAGCTAAATCAAAGAAAACACCTGCCTCCGCCAAAAGATTTAAAGAAAAGACCCACCGCCAAAAAAGGTCACTTTCAAATTGCGGGCACCCAAAGAAAAAGGTCGGCCGCTCATCCTTTTTTCCGGGATGAAAAAAAGTGGGCCTAAATGGAAAAGCTCCCAAAAAAAGGCCATCCTAGGGGTCGAACCTAGAGCCTCCTGATTACAGCGGGATATATAGACGCGATACCATTTCGCCAGACGGCCATAAAGCTCTAGATGAAAGAAAACACGTGACCCGGTTGGCCACACCCCAAAAAAAAACCAACCTGCCCCACCGAGGCCGTCTGGCAAAAAGGCGTCCCCCCCCCCAAAACCTGCCCCACCCAGGGCGTCTGGCAAATAGGATTGAGGTTCGACCCCTACGTCGGTCATTTTTTTCTCTTTTTGCACTAAATCAAAGAGATTGTCGCTTTTTTCTACTTTTTTGGGGCGACTGTTATTCTCTTCTGGGAGCATTTTACTGAATGAAACCATGTCTGCACAACTTGGGACATATTTTAGGTCAAGAGGTTGAGTCGCAAATGATCAATCATCTGTTATTAGGTCTCAAATTACAGGGTATGCATACAAAAATTATCCGTGTAAATGAAAAGAAGAGCAGTGACAATGACGACGGGAGAACTATGTCTATATCGCATATGTGTGGGTATATGTAGTAAAAGCAGATCAAGAAGGGTACGTATGCGGCAGGGTAGCGATACAAAAAGAGGGAGATGAAAGGAAAGAACAGCAACCTACGCCGTGAGCTTCGGAATGACCTTTACCATCTGGTCGATGTTGATAAACTGCACCCAGCTCTCGAGGTCCTTGGCCGTCTCGTGCCACACGAAGCTGCTCTCCTTCGTCCCGCGGAAGAACGCGCACACGCACTGGTATTGCTCCTCGACGAGCATCTCCTTGCGCGCAACACCGAGGTTCGCTTTGAAAATGCAGAATTCCTAGTGAAATTGAGTACCGTGTGCGCAATCTTGTTAACAGGGAGCACGCACCCAGCCCTGCAACGGATGCCCGTCGCCGCGCGCGGTCTCGGCAGGGATGTCGAATTCGAGACGCGACCAATCGAAGCCCGCGGGCTGCCCGATGGCTTTGATGTATGCTTGTTTCAAGGCGAGGATGATGCAGAGCCGCCGGAGGACGACGTCCTCGCCGAGCTCGGGCGCAATGAGTTGTAGTTCTGTGGCCGTTAGCTGTTTTAAAAAAAAATCGCATGTCAGTTGTTAATCGACAGTGGATTTGGGAAGGAACGGAATATTACTTCATTTGAATGAAAGCGCCCACCTTGTGCGACATAGACTCTGTGTACGTCTTCACAGAGACACCACGCGGCTCGACCGCGACCTGCTTTATCCCGAGGCCGATATTTATGACTTTACGCTGGATGCCCTGTGTCATCGCCATGCCGCACAGAGACGTCTCGTACGCCAGGTGGTACCCGATCATCGAGTGCAGGAATTTTTCGGGCGGCATGTCGTCTGGTGTCTAGGTGTTAAAAAAATATGAGTATGGGACAAGCGCAAAGTGACTGCACGCACCTGCTCGATCCAGTGCTTCCCGTTGGGCGTGATGCAGTCGCGCCACTTTGCGCGCGGTATCCGGCGGTGTCGCATCATGAGCAGCGGGAGCATGTTCGTCATGACCTGCCCTGCAACAGGGTGTCAGGATTAGAGTAGAATTAGCGGCCGCACGCACGAAAGCTGTCGGCGTTGGGGGGGTCGTGGGGTATCTTGATGTGCGGCACGCAGTCGTCGACGACCTTGTGGCACGCATTGTACTCCTGTTATGAATCCACGTCGGTACGAGTATGCGCAGCAGGCAGGGCGCGGCGACGCACATCTCTTGTGTACTCCCGGTTCAGAGACAACATCCAGACGAGGATGGGGCAATCCGTGGACATCGCTGTCCAAAACGAAGAGGCCTGAGCCAGCAGGCAAGAATGCCCGTGGGAAAGATGCTGGGAATGATTTCCGCCTTGCACTCCGAGTCCGACATGAGCGCTGAGCTCGCCCAATCATGGTCTCGAGGAAGCAGGCGAGCTCTACCGCCCTCCACGCCCGTCGATGTGTCCTAGATGACCGTGTTGCCACGCCAGGAAATCGACTCGCTGTCTGCGCTGAAAATCCGTCTCTGCCGTTGGCTCACTCCCCTCCTCGCCGAGCACCGCCGCCCACGCCTCCCTGAGCCTCGTCGTCGGCCATACCACTGGCCCCAGATCCAGACGCGATCTCACGAATCAGACCCTCTTCGCAAGCTCCGCCGCAAAACCCGCCGCCAGCGCTTCCTCGTCCGCCTCCACGGCGCCCCCCCAATCCCCTCCCCGGCAGCGCGTCGACGCGCGCGTTCGTGCGCGGGCGTGTACCAGCAAAACTCGTCGCGGTCGCCGTCGACGGAGGCGGCGGGGGCGACGTCAACGGCGACAGCGGGGCCCTGCGCCGACGTATCCGGCGCACGCGAAAGCTGGTCGAGCACGTCGTCAAGGTCACCCAAGTCATCCTGTTCCAGCGTAAGAGGCGGAACCATGTGGCGTGCGAACTGCACTCGGTCCGTTCAATGCCGCCATCCATCCTCATAAACAAAAAATTCCCTACACACGCATTTCTACCTTCTTTCATTGCGCACCAAGTAAATACGTACGTAGTAGTACATCACTCATCATGATCACAACATCGCTACAGTACGAGAAAAAAAAGGCGAAGAAATCGTGAACGCGTGAGCAGCAGCAGCGAAAAAAAAATAGTGGAAGTGAGTGCAGAGATAGAGAAATAAAATATATATGTACCAGCGTCGTCGTCGGGGGAGTGAGGGGTGGGATGTGTGTGAGTGTACTATACATACATGGTGGCGGGGCGGTAAGGGGAAGGGAGGGGAGGAGGCGCATAATCACGACTTGTTCTTGAACCGTAACAGCGGCGCAAGCCCCGCCAGCGCACAAGCCTTCTTCAAAAACTCGTGCTGCACCCTCGTCAGAATAAGGCAAAGGTCGAAAGCACAAAAACTCACATCCAACAACTCATTCGCCGTCGCCCGACTAGTCACATCCACACACAGACACACCGCCAGGAAGCTCTTCAGCTCCCGACTGAGCGCCTCGGGCTTCTTCAGCGTCGGCGTCCCATTCGTCGCAATCAGATACAGCGCCTTGAGCGGCTCCTCGTCGAGGTACGGTGGCTCGTTCTCGATCATCTCGATCGCCATGATCCCGAGCGACCATATATCCACCTTGGCGCCGTACTCTTTCTGCTTGACGACCTCGGGCGCCATCCAGTACGGCGTGCCCACCATCGTCGCGCGCTTCGACTTTTGGTCCGTCAGCTTGGCGCAGAAGCCAAAGTCCGCTGTAGGGACGTTAGTCGAGGACGCCAGGAAAGGAAAGAGACGGCACGTACTGATCTTGACGCGCCCCAGCCCGTCGAGCAGGACGTTGTCCGACTTGATGTCCCGGTGAATAATACTCTGGCTATGCAGGTGCCCAAGGCCCTTGCACGTCTGTCCCTCGTCAGCAATCCGCGTCCCGTACCACCAAAAAAAGGCACCCACCTCAAAGCAAATACTGCTAATCTGGTCCTCCTCCATCGTGTTGTTTTCAATAATATCCGTGAGGGCGCCGCCCTCCATATACTCCATGACGACCCACAGCTCGTTGCTCTTGACGAGGTAGCTCTCCAGGAAATTGACGATATTCGGGTGCTGGCTCTCCTTCATCACCAGAATCTCGTTCACGATGAGCTCCTTCCTCGGCTGGTGCGACAAATCCATCTCCTTGATCGCCACCTTCTTCCCCGTCGCCAGCGTCTTGGCCACATACACGTGTCCCGACGCACTGCAACCCCAATAAGCGGATAAAAAAGAGCACAAAAACAAAAAACCACTCACCCCTGCCCCACCTTCTTAATCTTGCTATACAGCGCCTTCGGATCGTCGTCGCTCACCACCTGCCTCAGCTTCTCCATAATCTGCACCTCCGTCATCGTGCTAATCCGCTTCTCCTTCATCCCATCCCCCCCGGGCTTCTTCTCCAGCGCCGCCGCCGCTGCCGCAACCCCCTGCCCCCCCGCCGGCTTCTCCCCCGCCTTCTCGTCGAACTGTATAACTGGCTTCTTCGCCGGCGCCAACGGCTTCACCGGGGGCGCACCCACCACCGCCCCCGCCGCCGTCCCAGCCGCCGCGCCCCCCGTCGGCGCAGTCTTTGACGGCGGGCCCAGCGGCGGCCGAGTTTCCTCAGCCCTCTCCCTCTCCCTCTCCCTCCGCTCCCTCTCCTCCCTCTCCCTCCTCTCCCTCTCCTCCCGCTCCCTTTCCCTCTCCCGCTTCGCCTGCTCCGCCCGCTGGTCCTGCCGCTGCGCCTGCGGAACCGCGCCTCCCGTCGTCGCCAACGAGTCTTTCCGCAGCGGCACAGTCCCCGCCGCGCCCGCGCCCGCCCCAGTCGACCCCGCGCCCCCCGGCGTCGGCGGTCCCTGCGCCTTCTGCCTCGCCCGCAAATCCGCCGACGACGGCAGCTCGGGTTTCCCCGGCACATCCGGTGCGGGCCGCGTGCCCGTCAGCAGCGGCCGTGGCGGCGCGGGCCTTGACGATTGCAGCTGCGGCGCCTTGTTGTTGTTCATGTTGTTGCTGTTACTGCTACTGTATGCGGTGGTGGTGGTGTTGTTTGAGGAGGACGCGGAGGAGTAGACGGATGAGCCGGATGTGGAGGGCTGGTCGAGCCCCGGGGGCGCGCTCTCCTGGCGCTTGGCGGGCGGGCGGCCGTCGAGCGACGTGGACGGCGAGGCACCCGCGAGCTTGCCCATGCCGCCAAGGCCGGTGCCGGCGTTGAAGCGAGCTGGGGCGCCTGGTGGGATTTAGTTGGATTTTTCTAAAGGAGAGGAAGACGCCGCACCCATGTCCGTCTCGCGCTCCAGCTCGCGCTTCTGGTGGTCCGTGTAGAACTCGAGCACGTCGAGCACAGCCTGCGGATCCTTCGCGTAGTCCTCACGCGTGATCGCCGACTTTGTGAGCAGCTTGCTCCATTGGTCGGGCATGCCCTAACATTCAAAGTGTCGGCGTAATGCGGGGTGCACAATAGGAAAGGCGCTCACGGTAAACGCCCCGCTGACGGGGTCAAAGCCCACATGAACCTTGTGGACAAAATTCGTCGGGTTGCTGACGCCCATGAGCGGGGAGCGCGAGTAGACGTCGTCCTGCCAGCCTGGGGGTAAGCGCGGGTGAGTCAGCAG